CAAGAACATCATTGCAAGGCAGCAAGTGCTCAGGTGCCAAAGCAGAGATATTCAGGAAGGTTTTCAACGGTCAATTTCTTGTTCTTTTGATGTTATATGTTTTTAAAAATTGAGATACAATTGACATGTTGTATTAATTTCAGATGCACAGCTTAATGACTTGATATATGTATATATTGTGGAGTGATCACCACAATGAGTTTAGTTAACCTATGTCCCCATACATAGTGACAAATTTTTTTCTTGTGATGAGAGCTCTATTCTCTTGGCAACTTTAAAATATGCAACACAGTATTGTTAACTATCATTACCATGCTGTACATAACATCCCTAGGACTTACTTATCTTATAACTGGAAGTTTATACTTTTGGCTCCCATCTTCTAATTCCCCCACCCCTACCCCATGCCCCTGGCAACTACCAACTTGTTCATTGTGTCTATGAGTTCGTTTTTGTTTGTTTGTTTGTTTAGTTTCTACATATAAGTGAATTCATATAGTAGCCATCTTTCTCTGTCTGACTTATTTCACTTGGCATAATGCCATCAAGGTCCATTCATGTTGTTGCAAATGGCAGTATATTTTTATGGCTGAATAATATTCACTCATGTGTGTGTGTGTGTGTGTGTGTGTGTGTGTGTGTGTTCTTGTGTGTTCTTTATCCATTCGTTTCTTGATGGGCACTTGAGTTGTTTCCCTATCTTGGCTATTGTAAATAATGCTGCAATGAGCATAGGAGTGCATACATCTCTTTGAGACAGTGATTTCATTTTCTTTGGATAAATACCCAGAAATGGGATTGCTGGATCATATGGTAGCTCCATCTAAAAAAATTTTTTTGAAGAACCTCCATACTGTTTTCCATAATGGTTGCACCAATTTACTTTCCTACCAACAGTACATAAGGGTTTCTATCTTTTTAAAAAATGGTAAAATATACCACAATAAAAAATACATATTTTATAGCATAAAATTTGCCATTTTAACTATTATTAAGTGTACAGTTCAGTGGTATTAGGTACATTCACATTGTTATGCAATCATTACTGCTATCAATCTCCAGAACATTTTTTTTTCCCAAACTAAAACTCCATAATTATCAAATAATAACTCCCCATTCTCCCTTCCCTCATGCCCCTGGCAACTACCATTCTACTTTCTCTCTATGAATTTGAATCCTCTAAGTGGCATGATAGATATTTATCTTCTTGTGACTTTATTTCCCTTAACACAATTTCCTCAAGGCTCATACATATTGTAGCATATGTCAGAATTTATTTTTAAGGCTGAAAAATATTATATTGTATGTATATTCCACATTGTATTTATTCATTCATCCATAGATGTACACTTGGTTTGCTTCCACATTTTAGTTAATGAGAATAATGTTGCTATGAACATGGGTGTACAAATATCTGAGTCCCTGATTTCAATTCTTTGGACTATATATGCAGAAGTAGAATTAGGATCATCTGTTAATCTATTTTTAATTTTTTGAGGAGTTCCATAGTGTCTGCACCATTTTATGTTCCCACCAACAGTGCTCAAGAGTTTTGATTTCTCCACATCTTCTTCAACACTTATTTTCTGTGTTTGGTGGTGGTGTTCTATAATAGCCTTTCTAATGGATGTGATGTGGTATCTCATTGTGGTTTTGATTTGCGTTTCTGTAAGATTAGTGACATTGAACATCTTTTTCTGTGCTTATTGGCCATTTGTATATTTTCTTTGGAGAAATACCTATTAAAGTCCTTTGCCCATTTTAAAATCAGATTTTCTTTTATTGTTGATTTGTAGTAGTTCTTTATATATTCTGGATACCCCTTAACCAGTATATGATTTACAAATATCTTCTTCCATTCTGTGAGTTGCCTTTTCACTCTGTTAATAGTATCCTTTGATATATAAAAGTGTATCATTTTGATGTTGTTCAGTTTATCTATTTTCTCTTTTGTTTTCTGTGTTTGGGTATTTTTAAGCACGGGCCAATCATAGACTTTCCCTAGGATTTTTCAATCCTGCCTGGTCCACCTCCTTCTTTTCTTTCTTTTTTTTTTTAACCTCCATCCCTTTGATTAATCCTTCTTCGCCACACTGAGCTGTCTACCCAGGATATCTAAACTTGTTTCTATGCTTCTTGAGGGTAATGATTTATTTTGTAACTTCTGCTCAGGTTGCACGTGGGTAGGAGAGGATGGGGGAAGTCTTTATCAAATCTTCTTTTAAAATTAACTAATTTACTTTGAGAAAAAGAGAGTGAGTAGTGGAAGGAGCAGAGGGAGAGAGAAAATCTCAAACAAGCTTCCTGCTGAGTGTGGAGCCTGATGTCAGGCTCGATCTCACAACCTTGATTGAGGTCATGACCTGTACTGAAACCAAGAACTGTATGTTCAACCAACTGAGCCATCTAGGTACCCCCTTTATTAACTCTCTGGTAAAGAGTTCATTTAATAAACCTAACTTTATATGTTTAGTGGTAGCAAATGTCATTTGCTCAGTTAATAGTTGATGAATAGATAGATGAATGAATAAATGAATAATGAACCCAGAGGCACACAGGTCTTTCCACCCAGGTTATCCATGTGCATAAGGGTCTGGTAATCCTCTGTGGGTTTGGGGAAACTGGGGATTGGGCTGACCTCTCCAGTATATCATGAAGGTGACTGCTAAAGATGGTAGATGTCTGAGTCAGAGCCTGAGAACTACTAAAATGATGAGAATTTGGTGCTTGGGCCTTTTTTTAACCTACTTTCCCTGCATCTGAGGACAGGAAATCAAATTGGTGCTACTCATAATGGCTTATGAAAGTTTGTTTTAGTAGGTCTGTCTTCGCAGCTAGGCAGAAAAACTGTATTCCCAGGTGTACTTGCATTAAAGCAACAGATGTATTCCTTAAATTAACTAAGTAACACTTTTGTTTTACCACCATTTGTTCAACACACAACAGCAACCACCACCACCACCACCACCACTAACATTCAAGGGTTTGTACTATGTGCACGTCAGGCACCATGCTACGTGCTTCAAAAGCATTATTTCTTCTAGTTCTCTCAAAACCTCTATGAGATGATTATTATCCCCATTACAAAGATAAAATGGAGTCTTAAGGGAATTAAATACCTTTCCTTGGGTCTCACATCTAGTAAGTGGCTGGGTTGTTTATTTACTCAGGTAGCACTTCCTTCTAGGTTGGATTACTTATCCAACACGCACTACTATGCACTAGATGCTAGAGACATAAAGATGAGGCAGATATCATTGCCCATGAGAATGTAGTGATAGAGATGTGCATAGGAGATTATGAGGAGAACAAGGAGGACACCTACCCTTTGTGGGCATTTAGTAAGTCAGAGAAGCCTTCCTAAGGAAGGAGGGTTGAGTTGAGCCAAAGAGGAAAAGGTAGCACTGGAAAGGGAGAGTGGACATCTAATTGTTTGGCCAGCCCAGCACCATGGTCTTTTTCTGGGAATGACATCCCTCTTCTTTTGGGACCTTCCCACCATGGTATTCTTCAAAGATCTTGCAAAGTTCTTCACTCTGATTGAGTCATCCAGGGCTAGACACCTAAGCCCATGCCAATCATAGGCTTTCCCTAGTTTTTTTTTTTTTTTTTTCCCAAACCCAAACTCCAAGCAGACATCTATTCTTATCTAGTGGTAGATACTGAAGAATGAATTCCAGGGATTTTTGGCAGGTGGGTTTCCTGACGTTTGGAATGATCTGGAGTGAGAGAGAATGAGGCCAATACAAAGAGGAAACAGAGACAAGAGATAGAGAGAGAGTGTGTTGGTAGCCTGCCTGTTCCCTGGCTCCATTGTTTAATCATTTTTTGAATAAGCAAGATAATCTGGATTCTTCTGATAAATTCTCCTTTTTCCATAGTGGCTCCAGTTGTATTTCTATTAGTTTTTACTCTGTGAGCCCTATTTAATATGCTTACTTAGTAATAGGCACGAATGGATGACTCCTAGAGAGCAAATGGCTTACACAAAGTATCAGAACAAGCACAGAAATCAATGAATGGTGGAAGACACAAGTAGTTTGTCAATGTGTAAACATTACGACGAGAAGTGTAGGAGATGAGACCAATAAGTAGACAAAAATCTGATCGTGGGTTCTATATTATGCAAAGGACTTTAGAACTTGATCCTGTATATATTCTGCTTATTCTACAGGTTCCAAGTTGGCATTAGACAGAAGTTCTGTAAACCTTACTATCATGAATAGTAATCAAGAGGTTCTTAACCTGGGAATCACAGGCAGGCTTTTGTTGTCCCCAAATCCAGTGAAATAGCTTGAAAAATCTGTGGGTGTGTATGAATTTGTTTTTGGTTCTTGTTATGGAAAATGTCCTCAACTTTCATCAGATATTAAAGCAGTCCCTGATCTAACATATGTTGTGAACTGGTATGTGCAGGCATTTTGGGGAATGAAGGCTTCAAATATTCATGCAAATCTTTTTTCCCTTAATTTCATCACAACTCTTACAAAACATTTCAGCACATAGAAAATGCTTTATAACGTTTCTGCTGGCCATTGATTTAAGGCTTTTCCTTGGAGATCATGAAAACATACAAAGAGGGGATATAGACCTGGTTTATATAGAGATTTTAACTGGGAATGCTGGATATGACCTCCACCCTGTTCTTGGCTTGGGCAGCCAGACCAGAACTGTAGGCTTTCGGAGGTGGCATCTGGGGTACCACCGTTGTACCGAAAAGCCAACTGTAAGTAGCATCCTTGTCCTTCCACCAGCAAGTGGAGAGACTACAAGTCCCAGGATTCTTCCACACTTGGAGCCGGGGCGAGGGCGGGGCGGATCTCCGCAGTGACGTCACCGTCCCGGGGCGAGCCGGAGGTGGGCGGGGCGAAGGGGCGGGCCGGGGAGGTGGCGGAGCGCGCTGGTGCTGATGCAGGATGGCTGAGCGCGCAGGAGCCCGGGAGGTCTGAGCCGGGCGAGGCTCGCTCCCTGCGCATCGCCTAGTCCGCCGGCCGCGTGGTCGCGGGCAGGTGGGCCCGGAGCGCCGCGCCCGGCCGGGGCCAGGCCAGGGAAGGCAAGTCTGCAGGACCGGAGGGGCCGGAGGCTTATAGAAACCTACCCAATCTGGGAGCGGCCCGAGCTGCCCAGCCCGCCGAGTTCGCGATGACCTGCTGAGAAGCTTCGTTGGAGGCTGCAGGCGGTGCGGTTCGTGGCCTCCTCCCTCGTCCTGCTGAGCCCCGGCCCCCCACCCTTCCCCGCTCCCCCTCCCTGCCGCCGGCCGAGATGGCGGATCCAGCCGAATGCAGCATCAAAGTGATGTGCCGGTTCCGGCCCCTCAACGAAGCAGAGATTCTCCGAGGGGACAAATTCATCCCCAAATTTAAAGGCGATGAGACCGTGGTGATTGGGGTAAGTGTCCGGGATGTGTGGCTTCCCCTGCTGCTTCGCGCCGCAGCCGGGCTCCCGAACGCCCCAGACGGCAGAGGTGTTCCGCCACCCCTTCGGACATCCCCCACAGGGTTGCCCTCTCCCATAGACGTGAAGAGAAACCCCCTCCCCCACGCCCTGTAGTTCGCTCCCGGGCGGTGGAGGGGCGACTGGGGGCGGCAGGGCGGGCCCAGGTGGCGAGAGTAGAGGTGGGGGGCGAGGAAGGGTTCGGCGCCGCCATTGTTCTCGGGGTGGGGGCCCTCGTGGGCCTATTGTTCCCGGCTTGGCCACGCCGCGTGGGTAGAGTGCTCCCGTTACCCTCAAGCGGGGTTCTCAGGTTCCCCTTAAAGTAGGATCTCTGCACCCCACAAATGATTCCAGGCATCAGTTCGATTTATTGAACACTTTACCTGTTCTTCTCACGACCTTTGCAAACGGAAAAGAAAAAAAAGGTACTGGAAAAAATCCTAGCCTCGGCTGGGAGCTCCCACGCCGTGTAGACGCGGCTGCCCGCGGCGTTTCACCTTGCCCTGCGTGCAGAAGGAGGGGGATGTAGGGAACACTGATGGCCTTGGTGTCCCCGGGAAGGCCGGGTGTGTCTCCTGCTTCCTCCCAATCCAGGCTGCCCTGGACGTGGTCTCCGGGTCTGACCCCTCCCCAGTGCGGCGACCTGGTGTCCACAGACCTTCGGATGTTCCTCGCCCTGGATGGAGAGTAGGCTGTGTGCTCACATCTGTGGGGCTAGGGGGCCCAGAGCGCAGCCAAATAGCCCCTCTCTGCCAGGAGTAGAAGTTACTTTGTGTGGTTGGGTCAACCCCTTCCCCCACCCCCACCCCCCCACCTTTCCCTTCGTCCCCTCTTCCCCTCCTCCCACTTGGCTCCCTTTCTGCAGCCGGGGCTGCCGGTGGGGGCAGGGAATACCTTTGGGTTTTAGTTCTTAACGCAATATGTCAAATGAAATAAACCAGCCTTTGCCCCCCGCCCTTTCACTCTCCGTTGTCCCCAGCGTGTGTAGCTGACGGTGCCCTTTGTATGCGAGCCGCGTGGGGAGGGACCGAGTTAATGGGAGCCTCCCGATCCCCGCTGACATATTCCTGGCAGCCCGCTCGAGGCTGCTGATGCAGCCTTCCCGTCCCTGGCATTGATTAAGTGATGTCATCCCGATTACTGAGCATGCTCCGGCTAACCCCCTCCCTCCGATTCCCCCAGTGGCTGGTGTATTTAGGTCAAGTGATTGACAGGTGACAGTTTATCCAGGGTCTCTGCCGGCGTCTGCCAAGCCTTTCTCGAGCACCAGAGGCTGACGTTTGCCGGCCCAAACAACCCCAGTATCCTCCTTCACCAAGGTTGTGCTGCAGTCCCTGCGAAGGGCCCCCGGGGGACTAGCAGGTGCTAGCAGAATCGGTAGGCGGTCGTTCTAAGGCGAAAGGGGAAGGGTAATGGAGGCAAGGCCCTGGCCTTTGCTCAGGAGCTTCATCTCATACCTCCCTTAGAAAGGGAGCTCCCCATGACCACCTCTTTTCCCCTTCCCATTTTCACAGTCACCTGGAAACCCTGACCTCCAAATGCTATGTGGATTGGTATTTATTCTAAGAGCTGACCTATGAGGGTAGGACAGAGGGCTTTTCTCTCTGCTTAGTGTTAATTTGAAGAGGTGTGTGCTACAGTTATTGATGAGGAGGAGAATTCTATACTTAATGGCAGATAATAGGATCTGCAGCCAGCACATGGGGCAGATAGTAGCTTGTTTGGGTTACACCTCTCAGCAGGGATCAGCCTACAGTCTGATTTGCTATTTCCTGAGCCAGGCTGTGGTTTAGATAGAGTGGGAGTTACTGGGGACATCTAGTCCCTGCCCCTTACCTTGTAACAATTTTTTAAACAAATAATTATGCAGCACTAGAGGTTTTAAAGAAAAGACTGGAGTTGTTGTTTCTTCTCCTTCCCCTTCCCCTCCTCCTCCTTCTTTCTCTCTTCCTTCTCTTCCTCCTTCTTCTTCCTCCTTTTCATCTTCCTCTTCTTCCTCCTCCTCCTTCCCCCTTTTCTCTTCCTCCTCTTCCTATTCTTTCTCAGTCTTCTAAGAGGGATACACCAAGACTAATGAAATAGAATAATCCTCTTTGATCTGTGCACAAGGCAGAGATCCTAAGAACTATACCTATTTCCCATCTAAGAATACATATGATACTGACTAAATACATTATAACAAAGTCACTATAAGTGACTATAAGTAATTTAAACAAAAAATTGTGGATGTGAATACGCATGTAACTCTTCAACCGTAAAGTGAAAATTTTGATTATCTCACTATAATCCTTTAATACAACAGTTTTGAATTTTCTTTAAGAAGTTTATTTATTGAAATAAAGCATTCATATAGAAAAGTGTTTTCATAGGGTACAGCTTATAAAGCTCTTATAAGTAACCACTCCCTTGTAACCACTGGTCAGACTAAAACAGACATTTTGGGGACCCCAGAAGTCCCATTAGGATCCCTCCCAGTCACTAGCTGCCTCTCCTTTAGGGTAACCACTCTTTTAACTTCTGATGCTATAGATTAGCTTTTTTTTTTTTTTTTTAATAAACTTGATATACATAAGACCATATAGTATGTTTGCTTTTGTGTGTGGCTTCTTGCAGTCAGCGTCATGCTTGTCAAATTCATCCATGCTGTGGAGTGTAGCAAGTTTGTTATCCTCTTTGTTCTGTAGTACCCCATTGTATGAAGGTACCACAGTTTGTTCGTCCATCAACTGTTGGTAGACATTTAGTTTGTTTCCAATTTGGGGTTAATATGGACAAAGCTGCTATGAACATTGTTTTATACATTTTTTGGTGAGAGCGCATACAGAACAGAAGACCGTCAGATGCTGAAGATGTTGGGATTGTGCTAGGACCATTCTTTTCCAAAATAATAATGTGTAACCAAAGGAAAGGACCATTCTAGCAGCCCTTATCATGTTTTGTACACTGAGTGGAATGGTTCCCACGTCAGTTCAGTTGCAATTAACCGACATGGCTGGTTCAGTTGCAGGTGGAGACTGCCTTAGGTGAGCATTTCTTTCCTTGCTTGTAGAAGTGCAGATTGTGCGGATGACCAAAGAAGGCCAGAACCATCCAGAAATGTCAGTCATCTTCACTCCCAACAGATACATGTAAAAAATGAATTTCTGGGGGAGTTAGCTGTTAGTCTAAATTCAGAATCCCAAAATTCTCTCTCTCTCTTTTTTTAAACCACAGTCATTTTTTTTCTTTAAATTTCTGTTCAATTTTTATGGAGATGTATGTTAAGAGAGATTTTGCAGGTGGAGTTTCTAGATTTATCTGTTTTAGAAAATGTCCTGTCTTGCAGGAATCATCTCTACCACTCTTGCATTTTTTTCCCCAGCTCCTATACAAAGCTTCCTTTCTCTGAGCACCCCAGCCACAGTCTCTCCCCACTTTGAACTCCTATGGCAATATTTTGTATATGATCTTGTAACTTTGTTGTTTTAGATTGTTATTAGTTTTATCACATGTCTAATGACATTGTAAGCCATGTGTAGAGATACTGACCATCTCTATCTTGCTTCTTTGTACTTCCTAGGGCCTTGCCCACAGAAAGCACTTAATAAGTATTTATTGTTCTCTTTGTTTAATCTAGAAATTTTCACTTTGGTGTATTTAACTTATTTTGTGGGATGTTAATTGGCTCTAGGCTTCAGGGAGTAGGTAAAAAACCAGTTTTAAAGAGAAGTGCTATTCCTTTGAGCAGCCCTGGTAAGACAGCAGAATATCATAAGAAAATTGGGAAAGCACTACTTTCAGCTTTGTTAAAAATTAGAAAAGCTATCGACAGTGGTGGTGAGCTGGAAGTGGAGGGTGGGGATGTTCTAGTGATTAGAAAGGGACTCCACATAAATGAATTCTTCAGAGGAAAACTATTGGATTTATAGCATATCTCAAAGTACACTTTCCACCCCTCCACCCCCCTCCCCCCGTTGGCTGCTTAAAGTCCTGGTGAGTCAGCCATTACTTAAGGCTCTGACTATTGGTTTTGATGTATCTGTATTGATATAAATTCTGTCTTGGAGAGTTCCCAGTAAGGTTCTTTGAAATAGACCTTGACACTTAAGTTTCCTCATTTGGGGCTTTCCTCTTCAAAGTCCTAGGGAAGCAGTAAGTTCTGGCCTATTTGACATCAGCCATGAGCTCCGAGCTAGTCAGTGGCATAGAAGGTGGCCTCACTCTGCAGGAACTTAGATTAGTTGTGGGCAGTGAATGGGCAAGAAAGAACCAGGACTGAGACCTCATTCCAAGTTAGAGTTACTGTGGAGATTAAAGACTACAGAAGTGAAGAAATATGGCGAATTTTTTTCTTTTTGTCCGTAGTAATGGTCTCTAAAACCAAGAATATTAAACAGTGTTCATTTTAAATTTATATGCAGTAAAATCACTTTTTTGGGAATATAGTTCTATCCTTGGGGCTTTGATAAGTACAGAGTTGTGTCGCTATGCTCTATTAGTTTCCTTTTGCTGCTGTAACATAATTACAGATTAAAGGCTTAAAACTATACAAGTTAATTATCACACAGTTTCTGTAGATCAGAATCCATCAGAGCTGCTAGTTTCTCTGTTTAGAGTCTCTAAGGTCAAGGCCAAGCTACATGGCAGGGCCATGTTCTGTTCTAGGGGCAAATCCACTTCTTTGCTCATTCAGGTTGGTGGCAGAATCCTTATGGTTGTAGGAGTGAGGTCCTGTTTCCTTGCTGGCTGTCAGGCCTGGCTGTTCTCAGATTCTAGAGTCCACTGCAAGGTCCTAGTCACGTGGCCCCCTTGTCTGTCTTAAAAACCAGCAGTAGGTTGGTCCCTCTTATGGGTCACATCTCCCCTGCAACTTCCATGGCATGTCTGTCTTCCTGACTCTTCTGCCTCCCCCTTCCACTTTTAAGGGCCTGTCTGATTACAGTGAGCCCACCCAGATAATCTGCCAACATCTCTGC